GTAGCAGTGGCTGCATTAAGAGTGTGTAAATGAGCAAACATGGAACCAAGAAGACTGACCATTCTTAAAGTTGATGATAATAATTGACACTGAAGGGCTTTGGGCAAATTTGATTGACTCCTCTGGCTCCCAATCCACTTCACAAATGGTGAGATGAACACCAATTTGGGTTTAATGAGATTGCAGTGGTGCTGAGAAAGTCAACGTGTCCTAGAACCCTAAAATTACTTTTCTCTTTTCCGTTAACATTTTCTTTTACAGATACATCCCAAACAACTGTCTGGAGAACAAGGCTCTGTTTCATATGTGTATTTGGAAGTCGTATCAAAGCATTTTTCAAAATCAAAAAAAATGCCAATAAGCTATGACAATGGATATCTCTTCGTTCATACAGACAAACCTGTTTACACTCCACACCAGTCAGGTAGAGTGCAAGATGCTTCCTTCTCTGGGGAAAATTGACACTGTGTTGTAGAACTTTTTAACACCTGAAATTGGAGATAGGTTTTCAATCCTGCTCAAGAGACTCAGTCCTAAAGACTTTTACATTTGCAAATAGCATTTTAGAGTTTAATTTCTAATCAAAAATCAACAGTTACATTATCTTCCCTATCAATTGTTTCCAAGTAGAAAAAAGCTTTTTAAACATTGTAAAATATTGTTTGAATTTATTTATTAGCAAACATAAGGCTTAATTGCAAATACAATTTTGGCAATGAGAAAATAACTTATTATAGAACCACATACGTGAAAAATTTCATTGACTCTGGAGCAGATCCCCAAACTGGAGAAACAAATCCAAGTCGAGGGGATTAGATGTTTTAGCAGAGAATACACCAGCTCACAGAAATGTGTGTATATTGATTTTCAAAGAGTTTCTACCTGAGAAAATGTTAAAGACACTGTTCTTTTGTTAGAGGGAAAAGGCAGAATAGCCAGTCTAACCCTGGTTGAGGAGTGCCTGGAAATATTCTCAGTGGACCAAAAGTTCAACCCAGAAAAGCATGATCCTGCCTACACGTTCATGTGTGCAAAGCCTTCACCTCCCCATCTCTCCTCCTCACCATCTTTGCCTCTTGACCTCGCCAGAGACAGGATTATGAGAGATGTGTCTGTAAAAGAAGGATCCTCTGATGTTTTATTAGTGATAGTTTTGGGAAATGACAGAATAAAGAAGGCAGAACCAGCAGGTTTTCTTGAAAGACTTGGCACACAGTGGGGACTTGCTAAATGTTGGTAGATGTTGACGTCAATACTGAGGTGAGACATGGCTGTACCACTACCTCCTCAGCAGGGGCACCTGTTACAATCCTCTCAATGGAAAGGTCCAGAGAGGGTGGGGATATTGCCATCATCTTAGACAGAATGTCCTTGCTAGAACAGTGCCATCTCTTGCCCCTTGAAGATGACTTGGTGACAAGGCAACAGTCTCTGCCCCACACAGGTCAGGTCCTTTGAAGCTTGATCATACCTAGAAACAAGCACAACCTCGCCCTTTCTTCTTCCTGTACTACTGATGCTCCTTGACTGGGTCCTGTTCACCCTGCCTACCACCTAGGGTCAGGAGTCTCTGTCCAGTAAGCACCTAGTCTAATGTCTAGTCCCAATGCCTGGGACCTTTCATGGCTATCAGTGCTTTCCTTAAGAATGGCCTCATTATTATATTAAAGTCCTCTACCAGGACTTTAATGTAAGAAGGTGAACTATATCCTCATGTATTATAATCATAAAAGAAAATGAGAGCACTTCCTTTAAACATTGCCACATAAGTGATAGGTAGTGATGTGTAAGTGGTTAAAGGCAGACTCTGGAGCCAGATTTCCTGGGTTCAAATTCCAGCTTGGGCTGTTATTACCTATGTGACTTTGTGAACTAGACTCTCAGATCCCCACTTTCCTCATCTGTAAAAAATAAAAAATGTTAATAAAATAACATACTAGAGTTGTGGGAGGGGGTGTGGGGGACAGGGGGATTCAATATGGCAGATATGTATGACGGGGAGGAGAGAAAAAGAACATGAGAGACGTGCTCAGCATGTTGATTCTATCTCATGGTTTCAGTAAAACTGATTTTAACATAGCTTCTTTGTAGAGTTTTGCATAGTACTGGTCCTCTAAAACATAATGGGGCTTTTGGTACCAATCTTTTTATTATATGAACAAAGTTTTCACCATGAAATGATTTGAACACCAGCTTTTGCTAGAGAAATTACAGCATGTCATTGAAAAGCATTTACTCCATGTGTAACAAACAGCTAAACAAAGGTTTTTGTTCAAACGTGTGGGTACATTAATTGACAGAAATGAAAGGAAGACAATGAACAATTTGAGCCCCTGGCATTACTATTTTAAACATAAGAAAATAATGGTAGGATCTGGTTCACTAATGTTAACAAAACCATATAATTCAAGGCTTTTTGTAAGTGCTTAGTTGAGGCCTTGCTGAGTTTCATAAGTGGAAGAGTATATAGGTCTGAATCAAACTCCAGATTTTTCACTGAAATCTTTAACCATAATTTAAGATAACATTTTATGTTTCCAAATAACCATATGGTAGATCTAGGTCATTATTCTGCTTTGAAATTCTCAATAAATAATGACTTATATAATTATATAATTATAGAGATAATTAATTTTGTACTATGGGTGTGTTCCCAAAAAGTTGTATGTAAGTGTATTTAGTGGCGGAAGGTGGCTACCGGGGATTGAATTCAGGACACTGTATCCCTGAGCCACCTCCACCGCCCTATTTTGTATTTTATTTAGAGACAAGGTCTCATTGAGCTGCTTAGCTCCTCATTTTTGCTGAGGCTGGCTTTGAACTCATGATCCTCTTGCCTCAGCTTCCTGAGTTGCCGGGATTACAGTCATAAGTATATTTTAATAAAGTGAACTGTACTTTAAATTCACTGGGGAAAATAACTCTGAAGAAAACCCAGAGGAGTCTCCTTCAGATAAAGATAGGTAAAGACAGACATATCTGTCTTCAAAGTGACATTTTCTTTTTTCTAAATATGGATTGTAGTGTATAGACTATTGAGGTTTTTAAATGCGACTTTCTCTTTTAAGAATGACTGTTTTTTTAAAAATACCCTTGTGTTTAACAGAGGTTTTGATTATATTAATTTTCTTTGCAGTAAAGGTTAGAGTTTATTCACTGGATGATGAGTTGAAGCCAGCCAAAAGAGAAACTGTTTTAACTTTCATAGTAAGTATATGATTTATTTAAATAACACTAACTCTTGTTTTTAAGACAGGAGTCCCATTCCAAAATCCTGTCCTTACAGCACCCTCTGTCTTTCAATGTCCCATAAACAGATGATAAACATCCATTATGAGAATAGCACCATACACCTTTACCCGTATGCTCTAGACATGCAGGAAGCTACACATTGAAGGATTTTGAACTAAACCATTTAAGTACATCCTTTATAATTCCTTTTTAAAAGAACACCCACCAATCAATTATAATTAATTAAATATCTATTATGATTTTTTATTTGCATAATTTAAAACGAAGAATTATAATCCATGGTGCTTACTTTTAAGTTATGTAGAATTTAATAACTATGGCTTTTGCAGGTAAATGGATGGAGTTGGAGAATATCATGCTAAGTGATATAAGCCAATCCCAAAAAACCAAAGGCCAAATGTTCTCTTTGATAAGTGTATGCAGATCCATAACAGCAGGGGGTAGGGCATGGGAAAAATGGAGGAACTTTGATTGGGTAAAGCAGAGGGTGAGGTGGGAAGGGGGAATGGGAGCAGGAAAGATGGTGAAATGAGATGGATATTATTACCTTAGGTACATGTGTGACTGTACATATAGTATGACACTACATCGTGTACGACCAGAGAAATGAAAAGTTGTGCTCCATTTGTGTACAATGAATCAAAATGAATTCTGCTGTCATATATGCATAATTAGAATAAATAAATTAATAAAAATACAAAAAAAGAATTTAATAACTAATATGCTAACACATGTGGAAATTTTTGCTAACCGATGGGGTGAAGCAGTTATTCATTTGTCAGATATGACAAACATAATAGATAATGTGAAATAAATTTGCAGGGTCTCACCCAGTTTATAAGATTGTAATAGATGCCTGTAGCTTTACTCAGTTTACACACCTATGATATTTTTGTGGGGAAATAAGATACTGCAATTAGTCAAAACTGCTCACTTATTAACATCATGTGTAGGGAAAAGTCGTCCCCTATAGGCTGTGGCACCACTTCTGCTACTCCAAAAACAAAACCAACAGAAACCTTATCAGAATGCAAGTAAAAAGAGGGGATGCTAGAGAACAAAACTACCTAGAATATAAACAAAAACAATTATGCATTAGGATAAATGACATAAGAGAGGAGCTTGGAGGAGACAAAAGAGGGTGACAGGAAGGGCCGAGAAAACCCTGTTTTGGAATGCAGGAGGTACAGGAAACCTGGAAATGGGTCTTAATGAAAGGAACTGACATAGGTTCTTTTAAAATAATAAAGGTCCTCCTGTGGAAGAAACAGTGTTAATTGACCTCTGGGAGGAGGAAGTATTTTAAACAGTAGTAGTTAATAAATGACTGGCAGACTGATAGAATGGCTGGAAGAGAACTAAACAGAGGAAACCTTGGCTCTTTTGGAGAGCACCAGGGCTGTGGACAGGCTCCTGAGCCCACATCTCCATGATTGAACATGAATAAAGCAGAACCCAGGAACCACTGAATTCCAGTCATTCCAGGCAAGAGCCTTCCCTAGAGAGCAGGGTGGAGGAGCTGATCCCAGACCTGCAGGGAGCCAGTATGTAGGAAGTTTCCTGAAAAGAGTACTCAGATCATCTTAGAGAATCCCATACTGATGCTGGGATGAAGGTCAGCAGGGAAGATACTTACCTTCAGTGTTGAGTGTAGTTCTTCCTCCAGATAGGCTTTTGTAACTGTTACAATTTGTAATCCAACAGGAAAAAAAAAAAAAAAAGCAGCTTAAAATTCCAACCGGGAATTTCAGTCTGAGTAAATGGTGCTGATTTTTAGTTAAGGTGCCACCAGACCTCCAAGTGTGATTCCAAAAGGACGAAACCTCATCTTGTTTATTTGCTAAACCAAATACAAAAATGAAGCTTGTAGGGAAGGTTTTATGAGACCTTTCAAGTTCTTTTAGCCATTTTGAGGTTGTAGAGGCTTAAAATGCCCATAGAACACATTTAGTGATTGTCTAGCTAATAAAATTCAGTTTGTAGAATATTTGCTTTGGAAAATTTCAAATGAACATACATTAAAAAAAAAAATCTGGTATTTCTAAAGCCTGCTAGATTCATGTTTAGAATCTAATAGGGATACTTTGTGTTGTTGACACATTGTTATACTTCTTTTTTTAATTGTAAAATAGAGAGTAGAGCCTCTTCCAGAAAAAGAGGACAGATGAGACAGGTTCCCAAAATAGGAAGGAAGTAGCTTTAAGTGAACTGTATGTATCTTGCATAACATTATATTGAATTTGTCTTTCATATTTAATTTGAAGTCAGGAGTATTCGTTGGTAAGTATTTCTAAAGGTCAAAGATCATATAATTAGTTGAAATTGTTAAAATGTGGTTTCTGGGTCTTCAGGGCTGCTGTGGATTGAGTATGTGCCCCAAGCTCAGGTGAGGCAGTGTTGGGAGGTGGGGTCAGGGGAGGAGTCAGAAGGCTCCACTCTGATGAATGAATTAGGCCATTCTCAAGGAACAGGTGAGTTCTTTGGGAGAGGCTTTGTCATCAGAGCAAACTCTTTCCCATGAGCTTGCTTGTCCCCCGCCCCCTTTTCCACCATAAGAGAAACAAGACCAGGGACCCCCAGATGCCAGCACCATCCTCTTGAACTTCCAAGGCTCCAGAAACAGTGAGCCTAAATAAATCTGTGTTCTTCACAGACTGCCGAGTCTGAAATATTCTTTTATAGTTGGAGAAAATAAATTAAGACAAGGGTGTATTTGTTTTTATTCAAAGGATCCCCAAGGATCAGAAGTTGACATAGTAGAAGAAAAGGATTATACTGGGATTATCTCTTTTCCTGACTTCAAGATTCCATCCAATCCTATGTATGTAAAAATGTTACTTGATAAAGTTCCCTCTACAAAGCACATCAGGAACTTTTGGCCTTGACGCAGTCAAATGGAGCCACCTAGTGTTAACAGACGGTGTCACAAATGTGGATATGCAAAGTCTTCAGTCTTTTGAGAAGTTAGGATCCATTCCTAGGGGTTGGGGGGAGTCCCAGTACTAGAGCCTGGCCAGGCGAGCTGATAGACCTTGCAGGAGGCAGAAGTAGGAGGATTGGTTAAGCCCAGGAGATTGGGACTAGGATGGGCTACATAGTGAGACCGTGTCTCAAAAGGGAAAAAAAAAATCCCAATACTTCTCACTCATTCTCTTAACATACAGAAATAACAATTGGGAAGAGATAAAAATAGTCCTTGGGCTTCTTTTCATCAAAAGCATCACTTCCCGCTTCTTGCCTCTGGAGGAATACTGTAGGCTGTGGGTCCAAGAGACTGGCGTGGTGCCATTCCTTGCCTGGGTGTTAGATAATCAGGTCCTCTGTAGTTTCTGTCTGCATAGACCACCAAAAGACAGAGTCCAGGTTGGGAACATTTAGATCCATTACCTCATTGGTCCTCACGTGAAAGGACTTAAAATCATGTCTTCACAGGATCTGATATAACACACCTTTAGTGAACACATTCCTGGCATGTGTAAATCACCATGGGAGGGAGAGGTGCCCAATAGAAACCAAAAATCTACCATCCCTGCTTTAAAGGAACTTAAAATAGAGGAGGACTCATAAGACAAGGGCACTTAGAGATGGCTACATTGTAACTTTGAGGCAAAATATTTTTATGGTCGTTTTTTTCTCTGCCCTCTAGAGAGGAGTTTGCATTTAGTTCATTGGATTATCAGCCTAAAAATTTAGATTGAAATTGGGAGATTTGGAGAATTTCAATAATTTACAAATTGTGTCATTTTTTTTGAAAATGCTGCACGCTCTCGAGTACAGATTGAGCTTAATATTTCACTGCCACTATCATCTTGTGCTACTTTCCCCAGGGAAGATTATGTATCAGAGGTGAGGCTCTATTACGACCACAACTTTCCCAAGCCTCAGCACCACCTGTTGCCCCTGTTTAGAGTGTGCTTCCCCTTGTCCTTCACAGAGCAAGCTTCCTGTCATCTTTAGGTCTCAGAGAAAATGCTGCTTTTGCAGAGAGGCTATTGCTAGATGTGATCTATGGAGTCCCTCACTATCTTTACTCTATCTTCACACCTGTGTATTTTCTTTTTGACACTTACCTCAACATAGTGGTTGTTTATTTACTAATGAACATGCCTTTTTATTTAGATTGTAAACTCCTTGAGGGCAGGGGCCTTGTCCATTTATCTCACTGCTGTATCTCAGCACTTCAGTATAATAGGTACTCATTAAGATGATGATGATAATAATCACAGTCATAATATTAACATTAATTGACACATAACCAATATGAAGGTTGGTGTTCTTTTTTTTCATTTCACAAATGAGGTTAAGCAACTTGGATAAGTCAAACCTGGTAATAAATGAAAAAGTGAGAATTAGATTTTTTTTTCCTATTTTGTCTACTTTTTCATTTCTAGTGCTTAATATACTGTTCAGTAAATACTTTTTAGTAAAGGTTGTTAATTACACAGGTACAGAATATAGAATTGAGCCTATAATTTTACCACTATTTATTGATTTTACTACTAATTATTTTACTTCCTCTTTTTTTTTAAAGAGAGAGAGAGAGAGAGAATTTTTAATATTTATTTTTTAGTTCTTGGCGGACACAACATCTTTGTTGGTATGTGGTGCTGAGGATCGAACCCGGGCCGCACGCATGCCAGGCGAGCGCGCTACCACTTGAGCCAACATCCCCAGCCCAATTTTTACTTCCTCTTTAAACACACCATACTTTGTCTCCAATCCGAATTTCATTTGTGGGAGGTGTGAATTTTGTCATTCAAATAGGCTTGATCTATAATGTATGTTTCCTGATACACTATTATGAATTTTCTACTCTTGTGAATCTTAATGTTATGCTAGCATAGTTAAGTTCCAGGATTAAATAAATTCTCAACTTGTCAGCTCTTCAAATCCAAGTTAATGAATCTATATTAAGATGAAATATCCAGTCATAGTGGCACACACCTGTAATTCCAGTAATTTGGGAGGCTGACGAAAGGAGAATCACAAATTCAAGGCCAGTCTCAGCAACTTAGCAAGTTCCTCTCTCAATATAAAAAATTAAAAGTGCTGAGGTTGTAGCTCAGTGGTAGACCTGGAAAAATTCCACAATATATGAAAATCTGATTACTAAACAATTGTTATTGTCCTGAAAATGCCAAATTAGTTCTATTTCTTGCTTTAAAATCTTACACAAATAAAACGTTTATTTAGGCTACATGTAGATGTATAAAATATATTATAACTTCTTTACAATAGGAATGTATTTGGTTTCCACTGTGTGAATTAAAATATGTGATAATGTGTAATTTTTAATGTTTTGCTTCACAGATATGGTGTGTGGACAATTAAAGCTAAATATAAAGAGGACTTTTCGACAGCTGGAACCACATACTTTGAAATTAAAGAATATGGTAATTTCTGACCATTAGAAGTCTACCTACTAAAAGTCATGGGTTTTGCAGTAATTCTTTTCATTAGTGTGCCTAAAGTAAAATCATCCCAGATGTAGATGGGGCCACCTGCTGGTGTTGCTCAGGGCCTGTTGAGGCGGGGGATGGGGTAGGGGTATTGAATGCCCAAATTCTGGTTCCAGGTTGCCTTTGTTCATCTTGGGCAAGTTGCCAGCTTCTCTGCACCTGGGGTCTTCTTCATGGAGCTGGAAGAGCCTAGTCCTCTAAAGAGCTTGACTTGTTAAGGTCCTTTAGAGAACTGTGATAAGGACAGTGGAACCCAGAAAGATAAATGAGTCACTCAAATCTCAGTCCCTTAGAAACAGAACCAAGATATCAGGTTCCCTTGTCGCTAGTTCAGTGCTTTTTCTTCCAGGTCACGAATCTCTAACACACTGATTTAAAAATTTCTTATTCGAAACCAATCCTATTAGTGAACTGATAATTAACATGTCAGTAACTTTATAGTTCTCCTAGTAGTTTAATAGAATATCTGTGTGCCCCATATCAGATTTAACTTTTTTTCTGCTTGAAGTCATTTTTCATTCTCTCAGGAGATTCATAATGATAGAAGGATAAATACTCAACAGGAAATTTTCACAAATAACAAGGAAAACAGTGACAAAAAATTTGTACTGAAACTCAACCTGAAAGATTACAGTCTCCCAGACACATGGTGTTCAAACTGATCTCATTTCTTCTACGTGCTTTTGCTACTTTCTATATATGTGTAGAATTCACCCACTTTCTGTAGCCACCCTGGTCTGTTCACCACTAGGTTCTCTACTGGACGAGTGCTGAAGCCTCCCCATCTAGTGCCCCTGCTTCCAAGTGACCTTGCTTGGTATTAGCCAAAAAAAAAAAAAAAAAAATTGAAATGCAAATCTCATCATATTATTTCATTATATTTCATTACAGTAGATCCTTATTCGTTTGGATTCATTTGGACCGGCCTCCCTGGCTCCTCCTCATCCTCACTTGAGTTCACTCCTGACCTCACTGACCTGCAGCATTGGGGGCTTTACACATGATGTTCCCTCTGCTTCCAACACTCTTCCCTTCCCTCCTTGCCCAGCCAGCTCCTGCTCATGGCTCTTGTCCAAGATGAAAAGCCACAGGAAGCTTTCCTTGAGCTCCTTTCCCTGCATGGGATCCCTGTACGTCACATCAGTGCCCATCATTGTAGCTTGGATGTGTATCTGTGTAATTAGTTACCTGTCCTATCTTTCCTGCTTGTTCCTGTCTGTCTTAGTCATCCCCGTGTCCCTGTTGATAGGTGTGTGCTGCTATGTGGCGAGCAGGTGTCAGCTGGAAGGCTAAGATAGTTCCCTGTCCCTCCCACCACCCTGGAGAGAGCACCCCTGCCTTGTTCTCTGAAGAACAGGAACACAGCCCACAGCAACAGATTGCTTCATTCTGTTTCTTTTACCTTCAATGTCTAGAAGACCTGTGAGCCACGGCTGCAGCTGACTCACCCCTCTCTAGGTCACTCTCTGTCCACAATATCCACTCCATGCAATCACCCAGGTTTCTATTAACTGTAGTGCAGGTCCTCAGAATCCAAATTCATGACCCTTGGATGTGGCCTGAGTTAGGGCCATTTCAATAGACTGAATCATTTTCTTTACCAAAGAGATAAAAGAAAAAAAATTAGACCCCTGCCTCCTTTTGGTCCTATTTTTAAATTTGACATTGATGTTCATTCTTATCTCTAATTGGGAGTTCTCTCTCCCTTTTCCAACATCAGAGTTGCATGCTGGCACTTGCAGAGACTGGATGCATTTTTTTACTAGATGAAAATGGGAGATGCTAAATAGACCAGAATTTTCCTTTTCTATTTTCAATTTAATGAATATTCATTGAACACATACTATGTTAAAGACTTAGAAGGGTGAAGGGAGAAAAAGAAAAATAGACAATGGTCTTTCATTTGTTTTGAAGAAGCCCATACCTAGTGGAGGGAGTAACCTGTTACCTGTAATTTTTATGTTATAACCAAAATGGAAGAAGCCAGGTGCTTCCAGTGGGGATGCTGGACTGAGTGGGTGGTAAGGCTTCCCAGGGGCATTGTTGCTGATGGCAGTGGTGATGCCAAGGCAGATGTGGTCCTGATGGTGCAGCCTGCCCAGGTACCAGCAAGGAGAGCCCTTTGCTGTGTTTTCAAGTCCTAATTCACCTGGTAATATTCCTCCTCCTTTCTATTTTCAGTCTTGCCACATTTTTCTGTATCAATAGAACCAGAAGGCAATTTCATTGGTTACAAGAACTTTAAGAATTTTGGGATTACTATAAAAGCAAGGTAAGAGAGATTTGTTTGTTTTGTTTTTTAGATTACCCAGCTAAACTAAGAAACATTGTGCTCATAGTTTATTTGCTTATTCTGACTTAGTTTTGTTGGTTATTTGTTAGTGAAAAGCAAGGAAAAAGAAAAGAAAAAGGTCCTAAAGATTTAAACTCTGTATATATATATATTTGGAACGCAGATGACTTAGCATATCTGGCTGCAATATGAATAAACTTCACTTTCTTGTCATTTTTAGTGGCTTACTCAGCCAGCAAAAGCTCCTTAACTATTTCAAAATCCAATGCCTTGAAACCACCACTGTTTACGAGTCAGCTGGGCAGTTCTGCCGATCTGGGCAGGCTGATGTCAGCTAGGCTCACCAGTGTGTCTACACTCAGTACACAGGTCATCTTACAGGTGGGGTGGCGAGTACAGGAAGGTCTTATTCACATGTCTGTCAATAGCTGGCAGGGGTGGGGGCTAAGAGTGCTTGGACCACACAGGTATCCTACCCAGCAGGCTAGCTCTGACAGAAATGCAAGCAGAAAAGTTCTCTGGAGCCTACGCTTGGTACTGGCACACCATTACTTACACCATACTCTTTTGTCCAAAGCAAGTTATAAGGCCAGCCCAGAGGAAGTAGGCTCCTCCCACGCCTTCTGCAGGAAGGGCTGCCAATGTTGTGGATCCAGGGAGAGGGAGAGAATTGGGGTTAGTGTTGTATGTAGCAAACTATCAAAAGAGACAAGGTCATTTAGAAATGCCCATATAATGTAGTTGTTAATAACCAATTTATACAGCACAGTATCCTTATAGCAACTCTGCATAGCACAAGTACAAAAATTGAGGTAGATAAATGTTAGATCATTTGCTCAACATAATACAGCTGGTAAGTTGTACAGCCTGTTAGTTCTGGAGTGCTTACCCTCAAACACTACCCCATACTGCCTCTATTGTAAGCATTTACTGTGAAAATAGAGTGATATTTAGTATACAACACTGTAAATGGCACACTTGAGAGAAAATTATAGAAACTAACCTCTTGTAATGGTGACGGTTTGTTCCAACTATGAATAAGGAAAGTTAGCTCTTGCTATACTATTATTTGATACATAGAAAATTCACTTTATTTTTACTTTAATTCTAAACTAAAAAAGCAAATATGCAGTTTGTATTTTTTCAAAAGAACTTATCTCACAACAGTGAGATCGGCATGCTCCTTTTAAAGACATAAAAGAAAATTGGGAGTCGCTCCCCACTGATGTCACGATCACCTAGGAAGTCACGTGGGCTGGAGGAAGGGCCCTGGAGCTGGGCGTCTTCATCTCTCCCAAGTCAGCTCTTTCATTTCTCTCACAGTAATAAAAATCCATACTCTGGCTTTCTTATTGTTGCTTTATGAAGTGTAGTAGTGGGTTGGAAGTGTATCAAGTGCTTTATGTGATTTCAAATCGTTACAGTTTATCTGATTGTTATTGTCACCATGTTGGGCAACACAATTTTGTGGTATTGTTTGACAGATATTTCTATAATAAAGTAGTCACTGAGGCTGAAGTTTATATCTATTTTGGAATAAGAGAAGATATAAAAGATGGTCAAAAAGAAATGATGCCAAAGGCAATGCAGAACACCAAGGTGAGTTGCTAAGACGTGTTCGCTCATACCAAAGATGACGTGACAGCTGTGGGGTATTTCGGACCCCTCTGGTCCAATCCCTCGTTCTGCATAGGTGTGGAAGCTGAAGCTTAGCACCCTCTGTTGACTTCCCTTGGCCCTTGTGATAAAGGCCCGGGCATCGGCCAGCTGATCTTGGGCCAATTCTCTCCTCCTCCCCTATGTACTAATCATTCCAAGAGCTCAGACTTGCAGTCTCTCTTCTCTTTAGGTCTTTGTTCTTTCCCTCTGTCTCTTCCCACCTCTTCTTCACCTAATTCCTTCTCATTCTTTAAGTTGACATCCTCTCTCTGGGAAGCCCCCCACCCTAACTCCTCCCTTGGCTAACTATGAGCTCCTGAGTCATTTATGGTTGTCACAACAGGGGACATGTCGTGGATAGACAGAGCATCCCCCACACACACACACGCCCACACACAAAACAAAGATTATCCTGTCCAAAATGTCAGTGATGCTGAGGGGAAGAAGACCTTCCTTTTGGGGAGGGTTTATTTACTTGTTTATCATTTTAGACATTGAACTTTTTGCAGGTCCAAATCATTATCATTTTATGGCCAGAGACCGCCTGTATACCTCCTTGTAATGAGCAGGTGCTCTGTAAATATTTGTGAAGTTATTTGTTCGTGGCTAAGGGCGTGATTGATGGGACTGAGGTTAGAGTTCTGGCCTCCTCTCCTCTTATTCAGTTTCTTTACATTATACCATGGGTTATACGAGGTTATGTCATTTTTCCTTACTTTTGCATATTCTTGTATTTTGCATCATCAATCATATATCCTCTGCTTTTTAAAAGGCAGCCCTATATTTTCAAGATACAAATTACATGTCTTTTATTTTTCTCATACTGGGGATTGAACCCAGGGACACTCTACTGCTGAGCTATATTCCCAGCCCTTTTTATTTTTTTATTTGAGACAGGATCTTATTAAGTTGTGGAGGCTGGCCTTGAATTTACAATCCTCATGCCTCAGACTCCTCAGTCACTGGAATTGCAGGACAGGAATGTAACTAAGTTCTCAAGCAAGTACCTAGTATATGTGAGGCCCTGCATTCAATCCCCAGCAACAAAAATAAAAATAAAAAAGATAAAAATAAAATTAAACCAGACAAAAATGCCTGTCCTCAAATTTAAAGTTAAAAATAGGAAAAAAAATCTATTTTTAAATAGTTAAATGATATGATATGCCCTTAACTTCATCTCCCTCTATCTAACATATGTTTGTGAATTAATGTTTAAAGTTACTAACGGTGAAGCACAAATGAAATATAAAATCCAACAAACTCTTGGCTAATGGCAGAAGCAGAACGAGAGGCTCCTGCAGGTGGATGAGGACTCAGGGTTTGCAAGAGGCACCTGTGTCTCTAGTACCAAAAAGGCCTGTTGTTCCTGTCAGGTTCCAGCTTCTTCCATGTCTGTGGCTCTACACAGAGGAAGCAGGAAGCAACTGCTGGGCTTAATGGTGGCCTCTGTCATCCACTTCATGGGTGATGCTAAAACAGTTTAATAATATTTGCTTTCAATTTAGAGTCTAGTTAACACAAATTTTGTGAATATTTTCTTGTAAATTTTTCTCTAAAATAATGTTTCCATTTTCCCCTTTTAAAAGTTGATAAATGGAATTGCTCATATCACATTTGATTCTGAAACGGCAGTTAAAGAGCTGTCATATGACAGTCTAGAAGATTTAAACAACAAGTACCTTTATATTGCTGTAACAGTCATAGAGTCTACAGGTAAGAGTGTGTGTGTATGTGTGTGTGTGTGTGTGTGTGTGTGTGTGTGTGTGTGTGTGTGTATTAACTTTCTCTTGGGAAATTCTTAGTATATCAAGGGTGCAAATGACTTGT